TACACGACGTAATTGCACTGCTGAACTCATCGCCGCTGACTCAACTGATGCGCAGACTGAAGGAGGATTAAAATGTTTAGGCTTTTACACAGATAGTGAGAACAAGGCACAGCAACATCAGGCTGTGTCTCAACACAAAATGGAGAAGCCCTGGAGATCAGAGCCCAAGCGCTAATGGGATTAGGAACTGAATTTGCTCGGGGGAGATCATTGCTCAGTCCAAGAAAACACAAAGCTGCCTCCAAGAGCTGCGAAAAGATCCTGTCATAAACAGGCAAATGAAATTCACTGCAAAAAAAAAAAAAAATCCATGAGAAACATCCCTGGGGAACGTCCCTGGCTAGATGTCCAGTGAGAGGGCCCACTGGAGGAGGCAGGACAGCTGTCCCTCAAATCACAAATGACCCGGGTAGGAAATGTTCAGTCACCGTCTCCCACAACCGAAGAACTAAGGAGCATCCAGCGAACCATGAGGCAGCAGGTTTAGAGCAGAACAGCACTTTTCCCTATCACGCATAATTAAACCGCGGGGTGAAAAAGAACCGGCTCCGCTCGCAGAAGCTCTGCGGTCCGCGCCGATGGAAGGCGATGATCCAGACGCAGAAGCTGGCTCTCGGTCTCTGAACTGCAGCCAGCTGGAAGAGCACGGTCAAGGGAGGGCACTCTTCCCCAAGAATGTGTTACTGGCCACCACCAGAGGCCGGACGTTGGGAGCTCTGGTCTGGCGCTGCGCAGCTGCTCTGAGATTCCCACCGGGTCGAAGCCGACTTGTTGAGGCAGCTGGTGCAAGCTCTTACCCGAAGCAAAGCGGAGGCCAAGACTGAACCGGTGGTTATCTAGAGACCAGCGTGCCTGGGGACTTTGAGGGCTTGCTCACGTGGAGAGATGTTTCTGAATAACTCTCGCATTTTAAAACGAATACCCGAATTATTCTGGATTAATTTTTTAGATGCGGACAAACTCCCAGAATGTGTCTCTCTCACCTGGGGTATTTCCACATCGCTGGCTTGGGGAGTTTTGGCGTGGGCTGCACAGGGATTCCACAGCACGTTCCTGCGCTCACCCAGCTTGTCCTTTTTCTCCAGCGGCTTCAGGTGTGACGCCAGCACGATGTTCCTGCAGGAAGGAAGAAGGGGATGCCATACTTAGCAAGCTCAAATACTTGAAGCCTTTGAGCTTCTCCGAGGCAATTCCTGAGTTTGGGCTGCGTGTGTCACCCAGTGGGATCTGGACAGGCTGGAGGAGAGGGCCCGTGTGAACCTCATGAACTTCAACAAGGTCAAGCGCGAGGTCCTGCACCCGGGTAGGGCACTCCTCGATATCAACACAGACTGCAGTGCTGCAGAGAAGGACTCGAGGACACCGGTGGTTGAAAAACTGGCCGTGACCTGGCAATGTGCGCTTGCAGCCCGAAAAGCCAACCGTGTCCTGGGCTGCATCACAAGTGTGGCCAACAGGTTGAGGGAGAGGGCTGCGTCCCTCTGCTCTCATGAGATTTCCCCCCGCCGAGCACCGCACCTGGCTCAGGGGTGCCCAGCACAGGCAGATGTGGAGCTGATGGAGGCCAAGGAAGTGGTCCGAGGGCTGGAAGAGCTCTGCGATGGAGAGAGGCTGAGGGAGCTGGGGGGGGTCTGCCGGGGGCGGTG